GGCTCATTTTCCAACTCCCCTAGAGTTAAACAGTTGAGTTTTACCGTTTTCGAATCCATTTAGCCGATCTCCGGGTCTGGCGGTAGCACTTTTAGCTGTAGCTTAGCATAGATCATTGAATCTGATTAGACCGTTAGCATCTCGATCTAAAATGACCAAAGAGTTTCTATATTTTTCCAGCGCCTGAAAATAGTCCCCAGCTAGCGAGATGCTAACGGTCTAATCAGATTCAATGATCTATGCTAAGCTACAGCTAAAAGTGCTACCGCCAGACCCGGAGATCGGCTGAATGGATTCGAAAACGGTAAAACTCAACTGTTTAACTCTAGGGGAGTTGGAAAATGAGCCTATTTTCAAAAATAGTAGAGTGTTCCTTTAATGGGAATGTTCCAAGAACAACAAAACACCAAGGAAAATCTACTTAGCTAATTTCCAGATTTCATCGAAAACAGAATAAGAGTGTTCAAGGGTAACTTACTTCACATGCACTGATAGCAGCAAGCTGAAGTCTATAAAAAAAGCTCTTTAGTCTTGGATTCTGCACCAAACTAGTTACAGTGTGTTTTGAGCAATAAGTTTAGAATATGTCTGTTGGAGTCCACAATGCAGTTTTTGGCAGACAGCATCCCAATTACACTCATACAGCAGAACAGTGCCATCGTGGCTGTGGCTTCACCATCTTTGGACTGAAGTAATTGGTGGTTCAGAAATGAGCTCAAGGTGGAGGTGATCAGATGAGATTACGAGAAGGAGATGTGATCTCTGGTTTCAGGAGGTGTGAGTTTAATTATGGTGTCAGTTGGCAGGAGGATTGACTGTGATTCATCATCTATTCTAGAGAATATGGAAACTCTGCTGAAGATGTTTGGGCACTGCTAGGCCTGCATGAAATCACTGCCCACAGATTTCGGCAAAATTCACTCATTATTTACAAAGCTTGCAACCTGGTGTATTTGTTTACTAAAAATGTTTGTTAATCTGAGAATGCTTTCAGCTCAGTTTGACATATTTTCCAAAATTAAAACCATTACACATAATTCCACAAAAAAAAAAAAAAACTTTTTTTTTTTTTGTCACAATTAGGAAAAATGCAAAACCAAAAATTTGAAAAATCAAAAGGAAAAAATAAAAAACAATATTTTACATTAAGAAAATGAAGCATATTGCTAAGACAAATTCAGTTTTTGCACTGCTTTTGCATTGCATGTAATTTTCATAACAGTTAAACACATTTTACCTTCAAATTGCCTTACCGTAATCCATCAGTACATTTTGCTTTTGAGTTGTTGTTATAATCATTACCAATAAATGATTGTAATTACAATACGGTATTTTTTCTTAATTACAGTAATAATACTAAATAAAATTTAAAATAAGCATAAATGAAAAGCAGTGCAATAATTTTTATTGTTTTTTAACTAGGCCTATATATATATATATATATATAAAAAAAAAAAAAAACTTTTTTTTCTTTGGTCACAATTAGGAAAAATGCACAACCAAAAATTTGAAAAATCAAAAGGAATAAATAAGAAACAATATTTTACATTAAGAAAATGAAGCATATTGCTAAGACAAATTCAGTTTTTGCACTGCTTTTGCATTGCATGTAATTTTCATAACAGTTAAACACATTTTACCTTCAAATTGCCTTACCGTAATCCATCAGTACATTTTGCTTTTGAGTTGTTGTTATAATCATTACCAATAAATGATTGTAATTACAATACGGTATTTTTTCTTAATTACAGTAATAATACTAAATAAAATTTAAAATAAGCATAAATGAAAAGCAGTGCAATAATTTTTATTGTTTTTTAACTAGGCCTATATATATATATATATATATATGCTTTATGATAACAAGAAGATCATGAACATTAATTATACAAAATATAAGAAATCTAAATTGTTTAAATAAGCTTTGTTTTTTTTTTGGCAAAATATAATTTCTTATTTTCCTTTTGACAATATTTGACGTTTTGTGAGAAAATGCCTAGGATCCAGGAGGAGTTTGTATTGAGATTTCTATTTTAAGCGCCACACAAAAACTGCACTAATGGTGACATTTTCTGATTGCTAGTCATACTAAGTAATTTGACTGAACTTGTATCAGGGATCGGCACGCAACGGGTGGGTTTTAAACAACCTTTTGCCACCCTCCAGGAGTCATTATTCAACCTTTAATCAACATGATGTTCTAAGAAACAAGGAAAGTCATCATTCCCATAATTGGATTCTCACCATTATGGAAGCTTGAATTGAAAGCCGAGATTTGCTGTAAGTGATTGCAACTCTCCAGTCACCAGTGGAAAACCGTTTCACGTACAATAAATTATAGTGTTTACCTAAAAAGTCCAATGTCGCGCTCCAGTCTCTACATCAACAGTTGCCTTACTGTCAATCTCCACCTGTCTGTACGGCTTTGTGGCTTTTACCTCACAACAGGTGGTCTGGTAAACACACACAAACACAACTCTCGTCATTGTTTCACAAGTGGGCACTATGTACAACGTAGCATTATGTTATACTTTGTACAACACAGGAAAAATAAACTTTTAGAAAGTTACCATTTTTGTTTGCGTTGTTCTTACCCACAGTTTGGGTTTCTCAGTGAAGCATTATCTCCAGCAGTGACTCAGACGCCTTTCTTGCTCTAGGCATGAGATGATGAGACATCAGCAGGGGGTTTCAGTCATACGTTGCTGGCGTCTGTATTCACTTAAACCATACGCCGCCTTCAGTAACCCCCTCATCAACCCCAGAAATCGTCCCACCACTGCAGGTCATTAGATGTTTCGGAGTGGACGCAGAGGGCGAACTGGACAGGGACGGATATTTTGTGTCCCACAGGCCAATAATCAGAGCGCTGTAGAGTTCTAGACGGGGTGTCGTCTGGTCACTCGGGGTCATTACGTAGGCTGCTTTTGAAGTTAATAATGTGAGAATTTCCAGACATTCTGTCCGTCTGTCTGTCCAAGCCACCTACACGTCTCTATTGCAATCTGCTTTCTTACCGCTCACCGTCCTACAGATTTCATTCATTTTTATGACAATAACACCCACGGCAAGGGATAAGAAAGGCTGAAAAATTGCTGTTATGAATATAAACTAATAACAAACGGGCGTTAGAATGAAAAATGTCAGCCTCTTATACGTTTTCTGCTCAGTAACAGCAATGGTAAAAAATTACCCCAGGGCAATTCACCATTAAAACGCCATCAGAGCATCCATCCACCCGCACCTCGAATCCCGGCCCATTCGCTGAGAGGAGACTCTCTTAAACCGCCCATAATGCTTTTGCCATTTAGATTAAATGGAAGTCATTCACCGTATCCAATTTGAGAAAACACACATTAAGGAAATTAAATTACGGGGGTGGATGGAGAGTAGTCTCAGTGAGAGATGCCCTTTACTGTTGACGTCAAGAATATGAGTTTCTCCAAAGTTTAAAAAAATAATGTGTTTTTAGTGTAACTGAAATTTGTTCACACGCTGACCAATATTTAACAATATATTTACGATTTTAGCAAAGGTTTATAACTAACGAGCTATGGAAAAGTAAATTTTAGCTCAGGATTTTAACTGAAAAACAACTGACTTTCCTGAGGTAAATGTATCGTCACGTCACATTTTGTTCCCAAGCGGTTTAATTGACGTCTTTTCGCGGTTAAAACACTGATTAGGCGAATACATGAGAGTTTACACGTTTCAGTAAGCTGTACTGCATCTTTTAACATACCTTATGATGTTCATTCATGTTTTTCATAACTAGTAGAGGAAGAGATGATCGGTTCACGCGCGCTCCTTACTTCTGCTTCCGCTTGAACTGAAGCGTTACAGCGATCTGTCACACGACACTAAAGAGCGTCGAAATGAGTTTGAATTTTATATATTTTTATTACTAATTTTATAGCTTAGAATAAGGTTTATTTAAAATAAATAAATAGTTTTTTTGCGCATTAATTTATCCACAAACGGTTCTTCAGACTCAAAGTAATAGAGCGCGTCACACAGGCACAGACACACACACACACACACACACAGTCGAGAAGTCTATTAAAGAAAAAGTGACATCGTTTCAGAGCTGCTATATATGCCACTTTTTATTTTAAAACAAGTTGCAAGTCAGCAGAAAACTGTTGAGCGATACATTAAGACTAATGCACATCTGTCCAAAAGAAAAAAAAACTTTGGAAAGTAGAAGAGTGAAAAGATTACATTAAATTGAAGCTGTCAGCATCCAAAAGCAATTTCCATGATGAGATGAGTGGCCATGTCCTCTCATTTTCTCTCTGAAGCCTCTTCAATGGTTCAGAGACACTCTGTACAATTGCTTCTAATGTGTTCTAACACTCTGAGTGCCAAAGTAATCTGACTGTCAACTCTGTGCCCTGATTTTTAGTCAGAAGAAAGATGCACATTTACAGTGAGTTTGATTATTTAAAGCATTCTGAAAGGTTTTATTGAATTGAAAGGTCTGGAGTGGCTAGATTATTTGTTTTTGTGCCTATTGAATAAGTAATACAGCACTTTCACAGTGGCTGGAACATCTTGGGAAACAATATCTGTGAGAAACATGAGAAATGGGCTTATTATTGAATGAACAACCAGACAGATCAGCAATCAATGCTAACAGCTATTCTACTAAAGTAGTACACAAGAACAGCTTAAATATGGATTTTAGTTCCAGCAGTAGCGCACATATCCTTTATGAAGTGTTACTGCATCATGAAAAAAATTAATTCAAGATGGAAGATGAAGTGAGAGAATTCTTGATTATAAATAAGAATTGAAAATGACAAGTAATGAGTATTTGTTTGAATATGAAAATATATACAGTGGGTACGGAAAGTATTCAGACCCCCTTAAATTTTTCACTCTTTGTTATATTGCAGCCAAATGTTTGATTAAACCATTCAGTTTAATTTAAAACAGACAATTTTACCCAATATACACTAGTCAACATTTGAAGTGGATCAAAACCTTTAATTAAAGTTGTCCTAAAACCTAAAACGTGATCTTGTCTTAGGACAACTTGATGAACTTTTTTGATCCACTTCCGATGTTGACTACTATATATCAAACCGATGGCAGGAAAATTATGCTGCCTAATAAGATTTGAGTTTCTCAAGTGGTTTTGTTTACAATGTAGGCTACACACTCGACAGCAAGGGTTTGGATGGTCCAAAAATAATTACCTTGAGGGTCGACTGACTGAACAGGAAGTCCTCGGTCTATGAGAAGATCCAATGCAAGCGTCACATTATGAAGCTGCACAGGTGAATAATCAACAATGACAAAAAGACCAAACATTTTTTTAAACAAACAACTAAATGTAATGTAAACCCGCAACACTGCATATTCTCTGGTAACCGTGAGATCATTAGTTTTGATTTCTGTCTTTTGCATTACCCTCGGTTTCTTAACATGCCTTATGCTGCTGTGCTGTCATATCCACAGTCATCCTAAGAGACGTTAATTATACAATGGCGAGACATTTCCTGGAGGTGCTTGTGAAGTTACACTGATGTAAAATCCTATAAGCCTGGATTAAATAGTGCTTATTGTTGTAAAGCGAAATGGAGCTCACTAACAACATGGTTCTCTTGTTTCGATGCAAATGCAAAACTCTAAATATTTTCTCAGGTTCTCACCATTTCTGAGCTCCCGACAGGACAAAGGAAGAACTCACAGAGTGGAATGAAGAAGCCCTCCAACTGACCGATCAACAAGAGCAGAATCACTCCATCTGCAAACTAACAAAATCACATTATAAAACCATAAACATAAAACATGACATCAAAAACAAGCCCATAAAGGGTTATATCGTTAAAAAATATTTATGTGATCATTTAATTCTAAAAAATCCATTCCCTGTTGTCCTCTCGCATCAAAACCCACCGACATATTTGGTTACAACTATTTAGGACTGTTTTCACTTGTAAACAGTGCTTGCTTGATCTGTGCATATTTCATCTGAATCAGGAGAGAATCACATCTTAATGATGTGTTTGTTTATTAGAAACATGCAGCTTTTGGCTTCACAAGACATTAACTGATGGACTGGAGTTCTATTGATTACTTGTAGATTATTGTGATGTTTTTATCAGCTGTTTGGACTCTCATTCTGACGGCACCCATTCACTGCAAAGGATCCATTGGTGAGTGATGTAATTATACATTTCTCCAAATCTGATGAAGAAACAAACTCATCTACATCTACATTTTGGATGGCCTAAGGCTAAGTACATTTTCAGCTAATTTAAATTTTTGGGTGAACTATTTCTTTTACTTCTAAGTTGACCTCCAGAAAAAAAAAAATTGCAACATGAGGCCTTTAAATTTGGGTTTGCACACCTGTTTGTCAAGGTCGGTCACGTTCAGTCCCAGAGATGATATGTTCTTATTCACAAAGTGCAAAATGGCCTGTAGGAAAGAAAACTTAATGAAGTTGTGGAAGATGTGTGTCAAAGGCTACATTTAGAGATGTGTCGAAGTGGATCCCAACCTTTTTCACGGTCTCAATTTTGTGAGCCTCCAGCTTGAAGAGCTCATCAATGGGACAGTCCTCTGCAAAGACAGTGCAAGAGAGAGATTAAGAAGCAAACGCTTTCTTCTTTATACGCCTCCACTATCTGAAAGTTACTGATGCTTATAAATATGGCTCAGAGTTCAGCCTCCGTTTGACTCACTGTTAGATTCTCTCTCTAGCGCTTCACTGGAATTACTGCGGAGACACACAGCAGACCATGAAAACACTGGTTTGGACAGTGTCAGAGATTCAAAGCGCAGTTAAATGTTTAATAGGGAAGGAGGATCTTCACAGACCTTTGAAATGTGATGAATTCTGTCTGCTTGTCTGCCTTGATGCCACTTTTTGTGACCTGTTTAACAAATTAGATTTTAATGAATGCTGACAACATGAATATTTAACTTCTGTAATGTCATTTAACTGCTCAGTGAATATTAAAAATGAATAATGTGGGACTTGAATCCATTTGGATCTGATTGGATGATGGATATTAGGCTCCTATAATGTTGGTTAATATAATTTTTCTCTGGATATGCAGCTTTGATTACATGCGCAGAAAAACATAAGCAGATTTTTTTTCCTTTTAATAAAATGCATATTATTTTTTTCAAATAATATGCAATGTGAACTGTGAGAAAATTATATAATTTTCTTTCGTTATAATATGCATATTGATTTTTCAGATAATAAATTGTGAAAAAGTTGAAAAAAATCTTTTTTTCATAATAATTTTTCAAATAATATGCAATGATTGTGGTAAACAAATTAAGCAATTTTTCATTATAATATGCAGATTAATTGATTTTTTCAAATATTTTGCAGTGATAAATTGTGAAATATTATGAAAAAAATATTATCATTATTTTTTTCAAAAAATATGGAATGATGAATTGGCAAAAATTAGACATAATTTTTTCTTTTTAATACGCATATTGATTTTTTTGAAATATGCATTGATGAATTGTGAAAAAAAATATGAAATCAATGTTTTCATTATGATATGCATAGTAATTTTTTTAATAATATGCAGTGATAAATTGTGAGAAATAATGAAAACAACTGTTCATTATAATATGTATATTCATTTTTCAAAAAAATATGCAGTAATGAGTTGTGAAAAATTATAAAAACAATTGGTCAATATAATATGCATATTATTTTTTAAATAATATGCAATGATGTCCGTTTTTTCCATAATAATATTCATGTTAATTTTTCAAATAATATGCAGTAACAAACAATGAAATGTTATGAAAACATGCAGTCATTTTTTTCATTATAATATGCAGTTATTTTTCAAATATGCAATGACGAATTGAGAAAATACATGAAAATAATTGCTCTTTACAATATGCATATTCATTTTTGAAATAATATGTTGTTTGTCATTTCTCCGATCACAAATAATTAAACAATAATGTACAGTATGTGGAAAATAATGTGTTTTTTGAACGTTAAACCGCATAAACACATTTCATTACACCAAATACACAAAATAATGTTCTTTTTAGCAGCATCATATGACCCCTTTAATACACGGCTGGTGTATTTTTGAAACATTTAGTTTACAAATTCAAATAATTTCAATATTAATCACTCACCTCACACTGGATGACCTCCACGCTGACGTTTACGGGCAGGACCAGATCGGGTTGGAAACGCCTCGCCATAGCAACCAGAAGATGCAATGTAGCCAACAGGTCTCTGGTGTGAATGACTTACAGATTTGGGTGGGAGAACAGTGGGCATATGCTTATAAATATGTAAATAGGTCAGTGACAATAGCTGATCTGATTGGCTTACGTTTAACATTCCATTTGGCCGTTTCCTCATTCATCTCTAAGGTCTCGTTGAGAGCTGTCAGGATCACCTCTAGTTTCCGTATCTGTGCGTCAGTGCTCAACGCGATCTCCTCTACATGTAACTGAACACCTGCTAACCTGCCTGAGATCAAAACATACACGGGCGTGACAACGTGATTGTATAGAGGGTGACCTTTCACCTCAAAAAAGTCTTAATTTTTATGACAATTCAACAATAGTTTACCCAAAAATGAAAATTTGCTGAGAATTTACTCACCCTCAGGCCATCCAAGATGTAGATGAGTTTGTTTCTTCATCAGAACAGATTTGGAGAAATGTAGCATTACATAATTTGCTCAGCAATGGATGCTCTGCAGTGAATGGGTGCCGTCAGAATGAGAGTCCAAACAGCTGATAAAAACATCACAATAATCCACAAGTAATCCACGTGACTCCAGTCCATCAATTAATGTCTTGTGAAGTGAAAAGTTGTGTTTGTAAAAAACTAATCCATCAAGATGTTTTTAACTTCAAACTATTGCTTCCTAAAAACTACAATACGAATCCTTTGATATTGCCTTCTTCAGTGAAAAAGTCATCTTGTCTGAATCAGGAGAGAAATATGCACAGATCAAGCACTGTTTACAAGCCAAAACAGTTCTTAATAAATATGTGGGTGGATTTTGATGTGAGAGGACAACATGAGTTGGACTTTTTTTCACTGGAGGAAGTGTTATTGTGGATTATGGACTGACAGAAGAAAGTGAAAGTGACGTGACATGTGGCCAAGTATGGTGACCCATACTCGGAATTAGTGCTCTGGATTTATCCCGTCCCTTTAAACAGAAGCGACAGTTTAAAGTTAAAAAATCCTTGATGTATTTCTTTATAAGAAACACGCAGCTTTTCCCTTTACAAGACATTAATTGATGGACTGGAGTCACGTGGATTACTTGTGGATTATTGTGATGTTTTTATCAGCTGTTTGGACTCTCATTCTGACGGCACCCATTCACTGCAGAGCATCCATTGGTGAGCAAATGATGTAATGCTACATTTCTCAAAATCTGATGAAGAAACAAACTCATCTACATCTTGGATAGCTTGAGAGTAATACATTTTTAGCATGTTTTCATTTTTGGGGTGAAATATTCCTTGAAGTATGTGAGCTTCACCCAATAATGTGCATGTTAATAATTTTGTTGCTTTGACATGATTCTTACGTAACAGGTGATGAAAGACGAGTCCATCATAGAGGTCTTCCTCCAGTGTTCGCACCACAATGTGTTCAGCTTTCAGAGTTTTGTTGATCCATTCCACCAAAACCTGCCACAAAGCACCAGATAAAATCCACAGATATTCAGACCTTCCTCAGGAAATTATGTTCTCCCTGAGATCACTTGGTTAGTTAGTAGAGTCAATTAGTAGACATTTTTAATAACTCAAATCAGAAATCTCCCGGTTATCAAACCTGAGCATTAGCTATGTGCAACACCACCCTAAAAAGTTAAGTATCTCACCTCTTTAAGTTTGTTGAGTTTGGGGTCTTCTAAAGATGTTGGCTGAATGATCATTCTTCTCTCTCCTCCTTAAAACCAACAATAAAACGTCATTTGCCACGTTATCAGGATCAGGATGCTTATTTGCTTTCAGCTATGGGTCTGTCCTTCATAAAAGAGTATGACTCCATACTAATTCACATACTATACTTGCTATATAGTACAGAAGATTAGGATTAGTGTGTCCTGAATCAATTGTACATTTTTTATGTAAAAAACTCAAATGTAATATTATAATGTAATATTAATAGAAAATTAATTTAAAGGAGCTGCATGCCATTTCAGATGTTTAGCCTTAATTAGACACAACCTCTCCAGAAACCACACCCTCCAAAGACCTCCAATCTAATGTCAGCAACCTCATACTGGTAAAAGACATGGACAGAAAACATTTTCTGATTGGCTTCTCACTGTTTAAAGTAGCCTACATATGTTCTGAATGTATGCCTAATTCTACTAAACATATTATTATTATTAAAATATTAATATTACATCAAAACATTGGGGCTGTAATTATTTCCAGTTCATTCATTATACTGGAAATGGGAGGTCAAGTTGAGTGCATTGCATTGTGGGATATACTGTTCTGTTTAGTGTGCTCTAGTTGTATTACTACACATAAAGGCATATCTAGAAGGGTATTCCATGCATATAGAACATTTGCATTTTGTGCACAGTAGGTACTGCATAAAAAATTAAATAGTAGGCCTAGTACTAAGACTAGTGTGGTTTCGAACATACATTTTAGTGATATACAGTATGTTAGGTAATAAGAACAATTAAGATATTTTTATATATTGTCCCAAAACTAGTGTACATACTGTAGCCAAACGTCTGTTCTTTCCCATTATTAGCGAAGTACATAAGTAGCTACACAGTAGAAGAATGTAATTGGGATGCACAGTCCAAACATTGTCATATGATGATTTGATGATAGCTCACCCTGAGGACTGCCGAATTCGCCCTTTTCCTCTTCAGCTCCACAGTCTGCCATTCTTTTGACTGTTTCAAGACATAGTTTTTGTCAAAAAAGTGAACTTTATTAATAGTTTCACTCAGCAGGCATTTGATTTCCAGCGCTTCTGTTTGAAAACCAAGTGATGTTCGAGTTCTGTCTGCGTGTTTGTGTCCTGAGGGGATTTCAAGGGCGCGATTCATCTCGAGGTTTTGTTTTCGAACGGACATTTTTATGGCTATGATGAAGTACGGCGAACCGAAGCCGACTTCAAACGTCAAAACACAAGGACGGAGAATCTCCACAACACGTGGAGTCGGCACTGATCTGAACGGAGGAGAACACACGGAGCTCCGAGATTTCTGCCTTCTTGCATCACGCACGCCAGCCCACATTGACATAACACAGACTGACGGGCAAAACATAAAGCTCTCTGACAACAAAAACATGCTGCGGGAGAGAAAAACCAGATGGAAAGAGAAAGAAACGTCTCAAATCTCAGCCATCTCTTCCTCTTTAGAGCAATAGTTGGCCCAGAAATGAAAAGTCTGGCATTTCAAAAATCATCTACAGTATGGAACACAAAATGTAATGGTGACCATGTCCTTCAAGCTCCACAAAGCGCATAAAGGCATCATAATTCAAATTTTAGAGTAAACTATGGCTTTAAATGTGTAGCAATGAGGTAAAATTGAGAGCAAACTAAAACTTCACAGATGTCTCCTCAGGAAAAAAAGTGAGTACTACTTTTACCTGTAGAGTTTAAGAAAAGATCTCAATAATGTCTCAAACTATGCTCAGATATCAAAAATATCTTAATATATGCTTCTTCAAAGACCAAATTATCTGAAATATGCTATCCAAATTAGCTTTACAATTAATGTTCATCAACAGTTGTATCAATTTTGATTCTCCAAAGCAATTCTAGAAACATCTGAGACAAAGGCGGTGATTGAACCTAAAAGAGAAATCCATGAAGTCTACTGAGATGCTATGAAAAGCAATACAGTACAGCCATGTTTGCTGTCAAAACTTTCACCTCAGCTCTCGCCACACGTCTGGAGAAATCCTTCTTTCAGATGAAATGTCGTCCAAACGGTCCTGCCACCTTTCCTACAAGGATCGAGTAACTTCTACAACACAACCGACCATCTTTCTGAATCGACTAAAAACAAAAACAAGAACTCATATATGGGTGAGGCCTGTTTCAAACACCAGCCAGGAAGTGGTAAGGCACCACTTCCTCTTTTGTTCTATTTTGTAGAAGCACAAATCATGTTCTAAACTGTCACACAGTGCAGCAAACACACACAGGACCCTCTAACAAGGCTGTACTATACAGGGGTCTAAACATGATATCTGAGTCAGTAACAGACAATAACGTTTACTAGCAAACAACCAAATAGTGATATGATGTTTCCTCTCTTCAAATAACACGCTCCAGGTTTGAGAGCAACAATTGCATATATTTTCCACTCTCTCTTACTGTGATGGAGAGAACGCCTCCCTTTGACTAGAAAAACCAGAGGTAATTTGGGCCGGAGGGTTACCATGGTTACCATCCCAATGAATTCCCCCATTAAACGCGAGTTTGAATCCAGAACAAACAACTGAAAAAAGACCCTCAAAGGTGCATCTGAAAACAACAGGATTATTTAGCTTCAGACTAGACTCACCCATCTGTGGATGTGTTTACATTCTGCGTCATCCTGAGAGATACAATCATACTGGAAACTACGGTTTGCGTAGGCCCCAAAGAAATGAGAATGGTGTTTGCCCATGCAAAACTGTTGTTACGCAGTTGCAAAGGTGTTCTGAGTGTCCTTACATGATGCTGAGTGGTTGCATAGGAGTTAGGTGTTTGCTAGAGTTTTGCTATGCGGTTGCTTGAGTGTCGTAAGTTGGTTGCCAGGGTATTGCTGTAGGGTCCCTTATGAGTTCTGATTGGATTTTAGAGAGGTTAAAACAACATAGTTGCTATGCAGTTGATAACACAGTTTAATAACCACTTACACTCAATCAGTGATTGCTTCAGTGTTCTGGGTGGTTACTAAGGTACTGTTATTCAGTTTCTGACAGTTCTGTCCAAAAATTAGGCACTTGTAATGATAGATTATATTACATTTTAAAATACTCATAATCAGACTACAGTTACCTTTTTATTGATAACTTGATTACATATTATTTACAAAATAGCAACAAATGATTCATCATTTATTGATTCTGCCTAATTCTTCTTTTTCATCTTTCTAAAAAAAGCCTACTGCTTATATACATTCAGAAAGTTATCCAGTTTTGTGGATATACACACAAAGACTAGTCACTATGGCTTTAATTACACAGAGCAAGACTACTGGATTTACAAAAATCATTTCAACTTTAAGAAGTGTTTTCTCAAAATTTCAACATGGCATCAATTGAAGTATTATTCAGTGGGTTATTATGACATATCAATGTCTTTAGAAGGCTTTTTGTCTTTCGAACACATTAAAATGCACAAATTCAAGTTTATTATGTCTTATTTATATGTAATGCAGAGATTCACAAACTTTTTTTGTCAGCCGAACCTCTTTCACCTAATATATTTATCTGAAGTACCCCTGAGATTTTAAGGTAACAAGTTAACTAACTAACTAATTAACTAACACATTTGCATGTTCACGGTTCTCTGACGTTGGATAATGGTCACGTGACATGCAGGTAAACATATTAAATCTTTTTTGTATGTGCTTTAGTTTGATTGTTGTTATTTTAAAATTATTTATTTTAGTTTTACATTTTTATAATTTAATTAATATAAGCTTTTCAATAAATTCACGAGCCCCCTGCAGTTCCTTCATGAATTCCAATTTAGGAAACCTTGATGTAAAGGGATATTTAATGCACTTCATTTAGTTAATAACAACAAATGAAATATATTTTCCTCCTCTTTTATTTTTACGTCAATATGGTAAAAGATTATCCTATTTAAATCAATGTGATATAAAGTTAGGTCAAAAGTAATCTAAAATTAATCAAAGTAGTCTGATTATATTACCTAAAATGTGTAATGTAATGGATTACCTTAATACTACATTTTTTTGTCATGTAATTTGTAATTAATTTGCGTCCCAAAGAAATCTACCCAGCACTGGTTGCTGAGGTCTTCTGGATGGTTTCTAGGGAGTTGCTATGTAATTTCTTGGGTTTCGTAGGTTGTTGGCAGGGCATTACATGGGTGTTCAGACTGATTGGTAATTTGTTGCTAGAGTGGTTGCTTATTGGTCCAAGTCAAGCGAATCCCCAATATTCTATAGTAAGACATCACTGAGCCCCATAATTTGAATCATTAATGTCTCCAGCACAAACACAAAAAGTTACGTGTCAACCTTTAATGTACGTAGATCATCTGGAAGCTGTAAATTTGTAACACTAAGTGTGAGCAACACTAATAGTTATGCTTCATGTAGCAAACAGCACTAAATAAATTAAAGGTACAGTGTAAGTCTGTCATAATGAATCACACTAAATGAATCTTTAAACCTGTGTGAGACACATGAACATTTATACAGACCAAGGTTTTTAAGCATGAATAATTCTGTGTATGAAAACTGTTTATTTTAATTAATGAAACTATAAATTCATTTCTTGAGACCATCAAGAGTCAAAATGAATTCATTCCAGCATGTAGAAAGTACTTGTTTATTTGAAATAATTACAGTATTTCTATTAGAATAAAATACACAGTGCATCCCAGCACAAAAAGTCATTCCGGTGTAGTGCAGGCCTCGTTTGCGTAAGTCAAATGCGAGAAAAATAAAATATTTGAATGAGCTGCTACACTGACGCATCATTAAGGCTGAATACATTCGATTCTGGGCATAAATAAGCCAAATAATACAAAATATTTCATTCTTACATACAAAAGTAACACCAGGGATGTGTGTGCATGTGTGAGCGCAGAGTGAGGCATGTAGCGACTTTCCTCGGATCGCTTTCAGTGTTACTCTGAGTTCTTGTAGTTGGTGAAAAGGTTGTAAAGCACCCTGAGTGTTGACTTCAGATTCAAGTTCACCACGTCTGCAGGACACAAACAACAGAATCACTGTTAAACAGACAGAGGCTTGAATATGTTAACTGTCATTGTGAAGGAAAACAGTATGTTTAGTGAGAAGTACAGTGTGCTGCATCAACTGAGGAACATCTCCATCTAGTGGATAATGTGGGTAACATTTTGAAACAGATGCAGACAATGAGCTGGTCTGTTATGATGTCTAAAGGTTGTGTATATAACGCTGATGTAACATTGCTGGCACTGATTTTTCTGGTACCTTCTGGTCTTGCTTTGGGTTTCTGTAATCCACCATCTTGCATGAGCTCGAAAGCAAATGAGACATTATGCACCTACAAGACAGAAAAACACTCTAGCAATCCTTTTCATAGTAATTAGTACAAAACCAGATTTAAATGTTATAAAATAGAAAAGCTCAAGTAATTGTGAGTTTAATGCCATAAGAATTCCATAACGTCCACATAATCAGACTTAAGAAGTCCGCATCAGACCACATCAAACCGCATTAGATTAGACCACAGACTTGTTGAGCAGTATTCACAATGTAATCAGACTGGTTTGATGTAGACTTTAGTCTAATGTGGTTTGATGTAGTGTGATGTGGATTCATAAAGTCTGACAGGGTATGATGCAGTATAATGAGGTTTTTAAAAACAAACCAGACTTCATCAAACCACATCAGACTCTTGTCAGACTTAATGATTGCACATTAGACTCAAGTCTACATCAAACTGTATCAGACATCATAAATACTAATTGTCTGATGTGGCCTTGTTTAGTCTAATGTGGTTTGATGTAGTGTGATGTGGATTCATAAAGTCTGACAGGGTATGATGCAATTCTAATAAGGCATTTGAAAACAAACCTGACCTCCTCAAACCACATCAGACCCTGTCAGACATAATGATGGCACATTAGACTCAAGTCCACATCAGATCATATCAGCAAGTCCATATCAAATCATATCAGACTTCATAAACACTATTCATCTGATGTGGAATTGTTGAGATTGATGTGGTCTGATATGGTCTGAACAGTATTCATGAAGTCTGATTGGTTCTAACGAGGTCTGATGTGGTCTAGCATGGTGTTGTTTGATATAGTCTGATGTGGATTCATGAAGTCTAGACAGGGTCTGATGTGGTTTGATGAGGTATTTAATAAATACTAATCAGACCTCATCAAACCACATCAAATCCTGAGTCTAATCAAGCTCCATTAGACTACATTAGACCCTAACAGAACAAATCAGTCCTCTTTAGACCACATCAGACCTTACCAGTCCACATTAGACCACTGTGGCACACTTACCTTCTGTTCGAAGCTTTCAGGCGTGAGGTAGAAGTTGTACAGCGGCACAAAGTAATTTTCTAACAATCCCATCAGTAACACCAGATAGACACCATCTGCAAACTTCACACACACATGAAGAGGTTTCTGAGCGGTTTAGATCTACAGATCTGTGTGAGAGTTAACAGATAAAGTTCATACCTGTGATTCCAGCTCCGTCACCTCCAGGTTCAGTTTGTTCAAGTGTGTATTCACAAATGTAATCAGCGACTAAAGAAACAGACATTCAAGGTTCATTTTTGTATAATCGGTACCATTGCATAGAAGTCCTTGTCGCATAAAAAACCGGTCCTTACTGTTTTCACTACATTCAGTTTGTCAGGTGCATGATCCAGTAAGGTGTCAAAAGCATCACGTTCTGCAAATGACAACAAATTAAATTGTTTTTGACCATTTTTCCCAGACTAATAAAAAAAACAGATGAACCATCATAATGTACTTGTGGGAAATACAGCTAAAACTAGTTCCTGATGTTCACTGGTTTTATAGGTTCTACTTGAATAAACCACCTCGGACCAGTATGGAAACCCATTTCCGCCACTGAATAAAAAATAAAAAAAGTTAATTGCTACTTTTTATCTCACAATTCTGACTTTTTTTCTCATAATTGCGTGATACAAACTCGAAAAACGAATTGCGAGTTTGTATCATGCAATTATGAGAAAAAAAGTCAGAACTGCGAGTTATAAAGTCAGAATTGTGAGATATAAACTCGCAATTCTGATAACATATCAGTCTACCCCCCTCAAATTTGGACTTTAACTCGCAATTGCGAGTTTATATCACACAATTCTGAGAGAAAAAAGTCAGAATTGCGAGAAAAAAGTCAGAATTG